AGAAGATTCTGGAAGTATACATAAGAAGCTGTTAATAGTGCTTACCTTTGGAGAGTGGGACTGGGAGTAGGAGGAAGTCTTTGCTTTTAAAAATTTACATTTTAATGCATAGTTCTTGATACCAGGGATTGCTAATTGGGGTCTTCTCCTGCTATAGACAGGAAGGAAGGGAGGAAAGAAGAAAGAAAGAGAGAGGGAGGGAGGGAGTGGGGGGAGGAAGGAAGGAAGGAAAAGGGAAAGACTGAGAAAGAAAGAAAGCAGGAAAGAAAAGAAAGAAAGAAAGAAAAGAAGAAAGGAAGAAAGAAAAAAATTGCTGGCAAGAGAAGAGGGAGAGGGTCATGTCGACAGAGTGACTAATCTGGGCCACCTTTCTCAGAGATACATGTAATTTTTAAAAATAAATACCTATTTTCAAAAGTACATTTAAGGGAGCCCTGTGATTAAAGGAAGCCCAAGCCATAGGATTCTGAACTTCTTGGGAAAATGCATGACACTTCTTCAAAGGTTTAAGTCTAAATTTGTTTGTCTTGTTTTGCTTTGCTTCAAGTTATGCCTGAAGACTCCAGACAGGAGAAAAGATGAAATTCCCCTTCATTGTCCAGCTAAGGCAGACAGATATCCAGTTAAGGCCACATGTCAGAAAGCAGGTGTCTGAAAGCCAATGTACCTTGTATGTCCCACCTCACCTCATCAGCTTAGGCAACAAAGTTGAGTCACTTTAAGTCTTTCTTCCTTTTTTTTTTTTTATTTGGTTGCACCGGGTCTTAGTTGCAGCAGGCAGGCTCCTTAGTTGTGGCATGCAAACTCTTAGTTGCGGCATGCATATGGGATCTAGTTCCCTGACCCGGGATTGAACCCGGGCCCCCTGCGGTGGGAGCGTTGGAGTCCCAACCACTGCACCACCAGGAAAGTCCCTTAAGTCGTGTGTTTTTAATGTTAAATTCATATCACTCTTGAGTTCTACCCAGCAAGCTGAGTCCAGCTTTCCTGTGGGGTTCTCTTCCTTGCAGATCCCCAGTGACCCAAGGGCCTATCATTCTTCCAAAGGGGTCCTCCCAAGTTGCTGATGTGGAGGCGGCGGTGGGGGGAGCACAGTGGCTGGTCAGCTGGCCACAAGACCTGGTTGAAGCTCCCTCCCTGCTGCCTTGTGGCTGCCAGAGGTCACCGCCACAGCCCAGACAGCCTGGCTTGGCTGCACAAGCTAGAACGAACGCCTTTTCCCTTCTGGCTATAGCTACCCAGGGTTGGGCGTCAATCACACAGTGCAAGGCCAGTCCTCTCTGCCAACACCCTCCAAGTGTGGACACAACCCTTGCTCTTAACTCTCCCAAAGCACAGCCAAGGGCAGGCACAGACAAAGGGAAAAAAATCAGGGCTTCCCTGGTGGCGCAGTGGTTGAGAGTCCACCTGCCGATGCAGGGGAAACGGGTTCGTGCCCTGGTCCGGGAAGATCCCACATGCCACGGAGCGGCTGGGCCCGTGAGCCATGGCCGCTGAGCCTGCGCGTCCGGAGCCTGGGCTCTGCAACGGGAGAGGCCACAACAGTGAGAGGCCCGCGTACCGCAAAAAAAACCAATCAGTTAAGAGCAGTGTCTGTCAATATCTAGTAATGTTTGAGGCCACTCTGAGCTGAAAAAAAAAATCTTGCCAACTCTCAATTTAAATTCTTTAGATTATGTTTCTTCATTTTGTGTAAATACAAGATTAGGTATAAAGTCCTTATTCTCATAGCCTTTCTACACCTATAAAACGACAACAATTTTGCACATTAACAAAATTAAAATTTCAATTAATGTTAGGTATGTAATGTAGATGAAATTTTGCTGAAATTAAATTGTTCTTTGTGATGAGACTATGAAACTCACTGCTATGGTATGGTGTTTTTTAAAATTTTTATTTTTATATTGAAGTATAGTTGATTTACACTGTTGTGTTAGTTTCAGGCATACAGCAAAATGATTTAGTTATACATATTCATGTATCTATTCTTTTTCAGATTCTTTTCCCGTAGAGGTTATTACAGAGGATTGAATATAGTGCCTTACGCTATAGTGCCTACTTGGGCCTTACAGTAGGTCCTTGTTGTTTATCTATTTTATATATGGTAGTGTGTATATGTTAATCCCACCTCCTAATTTATCCCTCCACCCCACTGGTACGGGATTTTTTAGGCGAGCTTATAATTGACTTAATTACCCCAATATTCTGTATTTGAATTTCTGTGAAACTTTTGCACAGTGTGCCATGAGGACGCTTGACCTTCGTCTAGCTGGAAGGCTACCTCTACAAGGAGTATTCTATTTTTTTTCTCATTAGCCCAAGAAGGTTAAAATTATAGTTCTTGGTGCCAAGTACTAAATCCAGTGGCAGCGTTTGGTGACAAGGTGGTCATCAAAACGATCCAGAATGGGCATCTATTAATTTTTTAAAGGTTATAATTTAAATAAAAGCAAAAATGTACGCATTTTCAGAGAGAATTTGCAGAACGTACGATTCCATTTACAGGAAATGTCCGAAGCAGGCAAATCCCTAGAGACAGAAAGTAGATTAGTGGTTATCAGTGGCTGGGGGAGGAGGGACTGGGGAGTGAGTGCTAACGCGTATGGGGTTTCATTTTGGGGTGATGAAAGTGTTCTGCAATTAGGTAGTAGTGATGGCTGCACAACTTTGCAAATATACTAAAAAGCACTAGAGTATGTCAGTTATATCTCACTTTTTAAAAAGTGACTTCACAGTTTTCCTAAAGAATAGTAGACGGATAGGAGGCTTCCATCCATTTACCTTAAATGATTCATCCTGTGCCGTTTCCCAAAGCAGAGGGTACCCCCTCCTGTCCCTCCAAGGCTGAGACTCCAGCTATATTTATATTATAAGTGAGATTTCTATTTGTATGAAAGGTCACTGTGGTTTACGGATGAGGGTAGGAAGAAGGGGCTGAGGGAGAAGGTCTGGAGATAGGAAGGTTAGTTGGGGGACTAGTTACAAGGCTCTACAGGGCATTAACAAACACAGATTCAGACCAGATGTGAATCGCTCAGAGACACAGCAGTTTACCAGGTTTGAAGCTGAGTAAGAGCCTGCTCTGTCTCAAGTACCTTCTCGAAATCCCACCAATTAAAGTTTTAAGCATTTCATTCTTTCAACAAACTTTTTGGACACCAGGCAATGTCACTGTCATCAGGCATAAGAGGGACACAAAGACGGCCAAGACAGGGTCCTCACCTCCAGCAGCTCCCCATGGAGAGCGGCAATAAGACCCACACGGGGATGAGGATCCTATATTTATTTTATTTTATTCATTGTTTCTGGCTGTGTTGGGTCTTCGTTGCTGCACGTGGGCTTTCTCTAGTTGCGGCGAGCGGGGGCTACTATTCTTTGTGGTGCGCGGGCTTCTCATTGCGGTGGCTTCTCTTGTTGCGGAGCTCGGGCTCTAGGCTCACAGGCTTCAGTAGTTGTGGCTCGCAGGCTCTAGAGCGCAGGCTCAGTAGTTGTGGCACACGGGCTTCGTTGCTCCGCGGCATGTGGGATCTTCCCGGACTAGGGCTCGAACCCGTGTCCCCTGCATTGACAGGCGGATTCTTAACTACTGCGCCACCAGAGAAGCCCGGGATCCTATAATAAAATGTAATAAAATGTGATAAGAAAAAGGGAGGTATAAACCTAGAAGTATCATGTCAGAGGAGGAAGAAATTCTTACTTCCGGTGGCAGTCCTCTGTGATCTGCGGTTGGCGGATGACTTGACTGTTGACAGGTGGAGATGAAGGGAAGAGCATTTCGGTAGAGGGAATAGCATGAACAAAGGCACAGAAAACGGAGAAGTAGAGGCAGGAAAGCCTGTCTGGGAAGGACGGATGAGCACGGGCTGGAACTAAGCTCTGGGAAGGAAAGTCATTCGAAGAGGTAAAGCAGAGCAATACGGACTGACAGGCTGTCTTCTTAAAATGGAAAAACTGAGCCGGGGTGCGAGGGAGAAGAGGCTCAATAGAAAATGCCGTCTTTCACACATTTGTACAAATTTGCAAGGTTTCATCTTGCAAAACCCACCCCTGATTAGTGAACAGGCCTTTTGTCGGCTTGGAGGGAAAGTGATTTTTGAAAGGACGTTTTAAGAAGGCCGGCCCTGGTGGGGTGCTGAAGCTAAGAGCGAGGAAGAGCACGAAGGTGGCATACGACAGGAAAGGGCTCTGACAAGAATGAATTTGGAAAGGAAATGTGACCGCCCCCAAATTCCCCCTGGCATCATTTCAGCTACCACCCAGCCCGCAGGCATCTGTCTCACCGCCAATACATTCGTACCATCAGTAAGATTTTAGAATGCACCTGGCTAAAAACCCCGGCTGGTAACACCCAGTTCATACGCGTGTTTAGAATGAAAGAATTCCACCTTTAAAAGCACACCGTTCCTGGCACACAGAGGCAACCAAACGTTTGTTTTAGAGATGAACGCTGTTTGTTCTTTGTTTCAGGGTCTATATTTAGGAGAGGAAATGATTCAAAACTGCATCCTAAACCTGTATCCTCTTTCAGCATTGAAGTGCGGACCACCTGGGGCCAAGAGGTCTGGTTTTCCTCTTCAAACTTGGGTTTTTGCCCCTCAGGTCAGTCGGTCCTGCGTCGGGGGGCGGCGGAGGGGTTTCGCAGTTTCAGTGACCAACAGCCGCGGGGCCACGGGGTGGAGCCACGGCGCTCCGCCCCCTCCTCCAGCCCCTCCCACCTACCCAGGTCCCGCCTCCCTCGCACCTGCGCGTCCCCCGCGCTCCGGCTTGTGCAGCCGCTTCCAGCCCGCGCCGGCGGGAGGGGGCTTGGCCTCGCCTCTCGCGAGATCGCCTCCCGTGGCCGCCGCCGCCGCTCCCGGCCGCTGACTGGCGGCGTCTGCGCAGCCGCCATGTTCGGTTGCTATGCTGTGGCCTGGGAGACGGGGTGTGCTTGAGGGAGGAGGAGACGGCGGGGGGGGGGCAGGGGGAGGAGGAGGAGGGAGGGGCCGAGCGCCCGTTGCACGCTCGCACACGAACGCTGCCCGGGATTGCTGTCCGCCCGCTCGCGCCGCGGTGTTCCGCTCCTCCTCCTCGCGGCCCCACATTGTTCTCTCAGGACGCCGGGGTCCCCGGGCCGGCTTCTCCGCGGCCCCACTGCGGGGCTGGATTAGCTCGTCCCCGCAGGGAGGTGCGGGAGCGCGCGGCAGCCCCGCAGTATGAGGTGGTGCCGGCGGCTCGGGGCCGTGGCGCGGCCGCTGCGGCGCCGGCTGCTGGGCGGGCGCTGAGGGAGCCCCGGGGGCGGCGCGGCCGGGCCTCCAGGCTTTTCTTCTGCAGCCGGGAGGACGCGGCTGGGGCACGAAGGTAAGAGGCTCTGGGTCCCCGCCGGCGGCCGGCCCTGCGTGGCGCGCGAGGCTGGTACCTGCGGCCGGATCTCAGGGGAAGATGATGCTTTTTGCCCCCTCCCTTTCTTCGAGGGGCCTCTGCTCTCCGACCTCCTGCGGGTTTTGGTTGCAGTCTCTGTTGTGGGGCAGCCGGGGGAGAGGGGATGGAATGTTCCAGGGCCCCTAAACTCGAGGTGAGGTTTTAGAGTCTTCTGAGTTTTCCATTGCTGGTAGGATTCTTTTTTTTTTTTTTTTTTTAATTGGCTCGTTTGAGCGCTTCCTGCACGGACATACCGTCCCTACCCTTGAAGTTTTAAAAAACCTTTTATGATTCTGCCGGTGCATACTTGTATTTAGGCGTCTGCAGTTGAGCCAGAAGGAAAAGTTGAGGACGTGCGGATGCGTGTCTCATGGTTGCCTTAAGATGAAGCGGTTTACAGTGGCACGCGTGCGTGTACGACGGTTCTGGGGAACTTAGAAAAGGAGACTTTATGCCTGCGAGGCGTTAGACAGCGAACCACGGTGGACCAGTGCGATGTGTAGGATTTTCAAGCGCCTTTTCTAGGACAACCGGTACGTCTGCAATATACCAACTGCTTTTAGAGTCAGAGATTGGAGTAATATTGGGTTGATGTGACCGGATCTCGGGCCCAGTTGAAACAGGACAGTTTAAGCCGTGTTTATGGAGAAGAAAAAAACCAAAAAGCCAAAGTATCCGACTTGTATAGGATGGTTTGCGTAAAAAGAAGACTGGAACAGGAAAGCCAGGGCATTTTTTATCCGGATTTATATACTTCTCATTTTTTTAAGGGGGGGGAGGAGATGACCTTAAAATAAATGATTACTCAAATCCCAAAAGGTGCTTAATGGAATAGAGCTAAGTATTCGAGTTAAATCTTGAATTTGAGAAATTCAATCTACAGATTTTTTTTAAAGGCTTTTTGTAAGCAAAAGTTTGTTTTCTGTACAGAGCTTTATTACTAACTCATAACAAAAGAGTGCAATCATTTTGTGGATCCCACCATTTTTTGTCAGAATAAATTTATGCTCCAGTTACCACAAAAGCCATTTTTATGTCTCTCTTTTTTTATGGCACACATATCTCTGTCACCGTTTTTCACTGAAACATGTGCATGGCCCCACAATATCATGATCTTGAGTGGTTTATAAGAAGAGAAACATGGTCTTTTTTTTGTATATGGGAATATTTGTAATTTAGCTAATCTGTTTCGGACATTTGGCAAGAGATTTGAAAACACAAGGAGCCATCACTCTTTTGTAGTTTTATTAATATTAATTGAGTAGGTTAAAGTTTAAGTTAGAAAAATCACAGGTTCCTCCAAAGTAGCAATGGATGAGGTTGTGGCTTTCTTATTGCCTCTAACCTGCTTAGATTCTAGGCTGTGGGTATTGAATTGTTTAAACCTTGTGGGTTTTTTTCTTATCTTCTAATTGAATATCTTTAAAAATGTCCCTAATAACTTTGTTACTTTAAATTTGTGACACCCAATTTCTAATTTAGGCTAGTCATAAAACCAGCATTGATTGAACACACTTGCTAAAAATACTTTCTGGGTCAGATGTACTTAGGAAGCAGCCTCAGGAAAATTCAGTTGAACTGTTCTACTGTGACCAATGTACATTTCATTATTATAGAAGTACTTTAAAAAAATTATAGACTCTCACAATTAGATTTCATCAGTTCAGGCATAGAAGCCTAACTTTAATGTATAAAGTACTTCATGTGGGATAGTAATAAAAACTTTTTAAATGCTTTTTTTTTTTAACTTATGTGACCCTCGTAGACTTCTTAAGCTCTGATTTGTATACTTGAAATATTTTAGTTTTGTCTGCTAAACATAATCAATTTGTATTTTAGTGTGACAATACAGTGTGCAGTGTTATCTATTTAGTATTTGTTTATGACTTATTCTGAGCTCTTTAAGGGGGGCCGTCTGTGGTCATGTTTTTGAGCAAATTATCTTTAAGGAACAAAGTAAGAATGCCAGATAATTTCAAGGAGACGCTTTTATTAATTGTTATTGAGAGGACTCCCTCCTACCCTCCCCCCCTTCCCCACCCCCCAAATTTATATGGTCAGTTTTAAACAACAAGGAAGCTTTAAGAATATGGAGAAATCTTGTTTGGTGGATGTTTAAAGACAAATGTTTTAAAGCTGTCCTTTAATGGTTAGTTATTAGGAATGTAAAATTAGTGACCTCACTACAAATGGCAAGTCTGTGTGACTTAATGTGGCTAAGCATGAATTGTTGCTCCTAAATAAAATTTAGTATTGGCAGAAATTCACTGGTTCCAAACTGAGTTGAATTTTGTTGTTTTTCTGGGTAATAACATGCATGTTATGAAGTAGTTTATGCTGTAGTCTAGATTTGTCAAATTAGTTTACTGCGTTAAGCTGTGAAGCCTTGAAGATTGGTTTAGCATTCTGGAAATCCTTTTTATTGTTTGCCAGAAAAATACTGTAGGAGGAAGGTGTTATTTCTTCATTTAATATTCAGTTCGTAGCCCAGATGGTGAGAAGGAATATAGTGAAGTATTGTAGGATCTTCTCTAGTGGTGTGGAAGTATGGTACCTAGGAGCAGTGCAATTTATTTCTTTAACTTTGCATGATCAGTCAGTACAATCATATTTAAAATAGGATGGGAAATGAGAGGGGAAAATTATTACATTCTCCTCCATTTCATTAGAGGCAGTTTCCCCCCCGTTCATTCTTCATTTCATTATTCCTGAGCAGAAACGCTGGAAGAGAGGTGCAAGTATTTGGTGGGAACAGAATGAAAATTAGGTACTGTGGATTACCTTGCCGGGAAGCTATTAATTTGGGTGAGTTATTGTGCTTGTATGTTTTAACAAGGAGGTTTTATAGAGGAGTAGGAAGAGAAAAGGATCCAGAGGGATGTGTTTATTGTCTGTTATGTCCCAGACAATGTAAAGGGGCTTTTCATGTTATCCCACATAATCATCAAGTACACTATGTGAGGTAAGTATTATTAATCCCCTACTCCCCCTCCCCTCCCCCAAATGGGGGCCAAGGGAAATTAAATAACTTGTCTAGGATCCCACTGCTAGTAAGTAGAATTCAAGCTAGGTCTGTCTGACTCTGAAGCTTATTCATTAGATCATGCTGTCCAGTTAAACTTTCTGCAGTGGTGGCAGTACTCTTATTTGGCATTGTCAGATGTGGTAGCCATCAGCCTGACGACCTGAATTTTACTTTATTTTATTTTTTAAAATTTTATTTTAGTTTATTTTTTTAGGCTGCATTGGGTCTTCATCGCTGCACGTGGGCTTTCTCTAGTTGCATCGAGCCGGGGCTACTCTTCGTTGCGGTGCTCGGGCTTCTCATTGCGGTGGCTTCTCTTGTTGCAGAGCACGGACTCTAGGCATGCGGGCTTCAGTTGTTGCAGCACACGGGTTCAGTAGTTGCGGCACAGGGGCCCTAGAGCGCGTGGGCTCAGTAGTTGCAGCGCGTGGGCTCTAGGGCGCATGGGCTTCAGTAGCTGTGGCGTGCGGGCTCAGGAGTGTGGCTTGCGGGCTCTAGAGCGCAGGCTCAGTAGTTGTGGCTTGCAGGCTCTAGAGCTCAGGCTCAGTAGTTGTGGCGCACGGCTTAGTTGCTCTGCGGTATGTGGGATCTTCCCGGACCAGGGCTCGAACCCATGTTCCCTGCATTGGCAGGCAGATTCTTAACCACTGCGCCACCAAGGAAGTCCCCGGACTTGAATTTTAAATTGTATTTAATTTTAATCAGTTTAAATTGAAATAACCAGATGTTACTAGTAGCTATAATATTGGACAGCACAACTTTAGATCTTTAGATCTTGCTGCCTAGAAAATCTTAAGTTTTTTTTTTTTCTTTCTTTCCAAGCTGCGCCATGCAGCTTGTGAGATATCAGTTCCCCTGCCAGGGATTGAACCCATGCCCCCTGCAGTGGAAGGGCAGAGTCCTAACCACTGGACCACCAGGGAATTCCCGATAATCTGAGTTTTGATATTGAATCTGCCGCTGGCTCGTATATGACATTAGGCAAGTTACTTAGTTCATGAGCCTCAACTTGATCCCTTGTGAAAATGAAGAAGAGGTTATCACTAAAAGATTATCTCCAGCATCCCTTCTTACTCTAAAGTTCTATGATTCTTATTAAAATGTACAGTAGCGTTTAATATTTGCAAGCATTATATCTGAAGGTCCCCTTCTCCTTACACTCCTTATATAAAGACCTTTGTTTGTTTAGTCAGTTTCTCTTTTTGAAAAGTGTATGTATTGATATAAAGCACACATAAAGGATAATGGATTATTTTCCCCCCAATTGTTTGGCGAAAACATTGTGTAACCAAAGGCAGTACTTTACCTTGGAACAAAGTTTGAATCTTTAAAGATCTTATTTTCAGCATGCCACTTACCGTTTGAGAATATATTACAGTTCCCTGTTGCTTATCAATTGATTCCAAACTTGTTTGCTTGTCCTTAAAAGTTTTTTACCAACTTCATCTCACTAACCCTGCTTCTCATTTTTACTTAAGAAGAAAGCATTCTTTTTCTTCCCCTTCTGCCCTTGTTTCTTCAGTTTAAACATTCCTGTCTCCAATCCATATGCCTCTTCTTTAAGTCTTCCAGAGAATTCACCTTTTTTCTGGAAGAATGCTGCTTAATCCAGTCATAATGATCAGCTTTTGAATACTGGTAATAAGTACCCTGGTGCTAATATATGATTGCTTAGATGTAGTTAGTTGAGTTTGTACTTTTTAAGTTTTTATATGTTACCTACTGTGTGTCCTTAATGAACATGTAAAAAAATTAAAAATGGGGGTTGTTTCTTTTGTATTGCCTTACGAATTTAGTCCATTGCTCAGCAATTCTGCTTTTAAAAAGTTGCTAATAAAAAAATTATAAATACTGTAACAACATTCACCCTTAATCACTACTCTAAAAGATATTTTTGTTTCCTTCCAGGCCATTG